CTGTTTCAAAGGGCTGGCTGCTACCCCAGACAGTTCCGTGTCCAAAACAAATTTATTTCTGGAGCAATTTGCTTCTAATTTGTCCGTCTTCCATCTCCTCCATTTGTATTATTTGTAGGGTATGGAGCTCCCGAAGTTACGGTGCCTTGCTGAAGCTTTCCCAAGTCATGTATGCTGTTCACATCTGTGCTTTGGATCCCCGTGCGTAAATGACTGACTGCTGACAGCCAGTTTTATTCTTTTTATAACAGACATCAGTAAAGAACAATGTTGCAACTGAAATGTTTTGTAATGACTGCCTGATACGAGGCCTGACAGTATGAGGGACCTGCAAGTTTCCCCTGTTACTTTGTCCAGGTGTATGCTTTGAGTTGCAGGATGGCAATACCTGCTGACCCCCTGACTGCGAGCCCCCCGCGGCGCTCGAAGCCCCTCCTGCCAAGGGGCCCCGTCCTCGCTGCCGTCCCGCCCCTTCCGCCGGCGCTGCCGCCGCCGCTTCCGGACGGGGGATGGGGGGTGGCGGTGGCCGCCGCCGCCGCCGAGGAGAGGCACGGGCAGCGGCAGAGGCAGAGCGCGGAGGAGCCGCAGCGCCCAGAGCCGGCGCGGCGGCACCGCCGCTCGGCGCCAGGTGAGGCGGGGCGAGCTGCGGGACCATCCCCGGGGACCCTTCCTTCCCGGGGACCCTTCCTTCCCGCGGGGCCGCCCCGCAAAGGTGGGAGCCCGCCGGGTCCGCGTCGCTGCCCCCGCTGTGGCGTGAGCCCCCGGGGTGCGGGCGGCTCTCCGGGGGGAAGGGGCTGCCCCGCCGTAGGGGCTGTGCGGGAGGAGAACAGCTTCGCCTGGCGGGGGGAGGACAAGCCGCCTGTGCTGTGTGTCCGCGCTGAGAACCGCTCCGCCGTAATTACCGGGCCCGCCCGGCCCGGCACATCTCTGCCGAGCGTGAGCGCCCGGCCCGGCAGCACCGGCTGCGCGCTCGGGCGGTGTCACCGGCGAGGTTCGGGCTGAGGGGTCCGCCCTGTGCCCGCCTGTGCCGCTGAACTTTGTCAGCCTCGGTCGGAGAGCCGTGTGGCGGTGTGGGACGGGCACCGAGCGGGGACGGGGCTGGCAGCGGGGGTCGGGGCCTGCGGGCACTGTGCGGTTTGTTGTGGGCCCGGGGGCAGAGGGGATCTGTGGTGTCTGATTCCCGCCTCAGCCTCCACTGCAAACTGATCGTTCCTGGAAAAGATGCTCTGTGTCAGTCTTGCAGGCAGATAACCAAACGGTTGTACCGGATCCTATAGATATTCTTGCTACTTTTGTCAATAAAATAGGTATGTTTTCTGAGCACACAGCGTTCAGTTTTGAATAAAAATGCTGTTGAGCGTGTAGGATTTGATTATTAACAAGGCAGCATGGAATAGTGCTGTTACTGGTTTGCATGCGTGCTCTTCGAGTTTCAGGGTTAAATGGTGGGGTCTGCCTGTGGGGGAGAGTGTTTGTGCAAGTTTAGGGCCTGAGTGTAAGGAAGTTAAACTACTGGAACTGTTATCCACTCAGTCTCTTGAATCTGTATTACTGATGCATTATGTAGCCTCAGACCATTCACTTAGTCATTGCTGATTGCTATTAAAAAAACCTTAATACTTAAAAAGTAGATTTTTCCAGCTCCTTAAGTTAATGGAAGAGGTAAATGACAGGTAGTGTTAATGTTAACGTTTTTAGTAAGTTGAAGTGGTCTCATAGTTTTGTATTTGAGGCTTCGGTTTGCAAAATTAATTTTATAAAAATTTTCTATGTGCGACACTCATTCTGTGTTGTAAGATGATTTGATGGAGGATTCCACTTTGCTCAAGTCTGCTCTGTCTCCACAGAGCTCCCTCGTGCAGCTGGACACGGTGTCTGTGCCACCTCCACAGAGCAGCTGATCATGCTGTGCTCTGGAGTGGCGAGAGCTCAGAAGACATTTCCTGGCATTTAAGTGCCCCTCCTGTTTGGTAGGGGGTGCCTCTTACTGGATATCAGAGGTAAGGAAATGCCTGTGTCTTTTTCTTCATTTTGCTTTCTGTGATGTAGAAGAAAGGTGGAACTAGCCTGCAGAATTAGTATGAAGTGATTTTTATACCAAGTGAAAGGAATTTAGGGAAGTTTTGTAAGTTTTTGTTGTGTAAGTACTGCTTAGACGTGAAGGAAATGTTCTGTAGATCTGTAAAGCACAAAAATTTTAAATTATCTTGTTAGCTCTTATAAGTGATACTGTTTTTTGCTGGCTGGTTGAGGGTTTATTTTAGTAGGGTACTATTAAAATACAGGTTGGCCTGGAAATTGTCATCTTTTGGGTTCTGTAGTATTGCTTTTCTTGGTACAGAGCTTGCTTTTGCAGTCTACTTAGCTGGTTGAGATCCACTAACCATATTACATTGTGTATATTTGATAATCACATCCTTTTAGAAGTTTTTTATTTCTTACTTTATTTAATGCATCTAAAATGAGGAAGGCTATTCGATTTTCACTAGATCAGAAAGATCAGATTGTAAATGGTTGTGGAGGGTAAGATGAAACACAGTTTCAGTTCAGATATTGTTCTGGTATTCATTTGGATGGAGAGCTGGTTCATGTCTTCCCCTATTTCCACTGTAAGATGAGGATGTGGGAAGAAAAGGGGAGGAAGAAACTCGAGTTGTTACTCCTAAGTTGTAGAGGGATAAAGAGCAGCCAACATTCTGTTACAGGAGGGATATGCTACTTGAAACCAGAAGAAAAATACTCGACACGTGATATTTAGCATGTAAAATATTCAAGAACTTAGTCAAATAGTAACGAAATACTGTAGAATGGCATCCTAAGATAAGTGGTGGAGTACTTGATCAGTTGTTTAAAAACACTTGTGTGTGCCTTAAATTGTGGCAGTAGGATAAAAGTTTGTTTTTTTAGCTGGTTAGTAGATTAGGAGTTGAGCTGCTTTTAATGTCCACTTGAGTATAGTACAACCTGTTTGACTTAATGAGGTGTAAGAGTCAGGGAGCAGTATGTATTCTGTTCATTTTGATGCAATATATAACTGTACTTGGTGGTTCTTAAGACAAACGTTTTTAACTTTCAGGACTTTCTGCAGTAGCTGATGTCAGTTTTACATGGAGGTGTCTTGACAGAAAGACTGCTGAGAATACAGAGCTAGTATCTGATCCACAAGCTGCACTTCAATAAATAATTCTTAAAAAGCTTATCTTCCTTGATGGCTTAAAATCTAAGACTAAACTAGTGTTACTTTGAGATTTCTTATCATACTTTCATGCATAGCACTAAGACCTTTGAGTACAGTTAAGCTACTGCTGATCATCTCACTTATGATACCAAAGTCCCTAATTAAAACTCAATGCAAGTTTTACAGCAATATTTATGCATTTGAAATTATTGTATTCTTGCTTCAGGAAAATACAGTTTTTTGTCTCATGGTGGGCATTGTGCTGTGTTTGATAAATTTTATATGTAGCATAGTAGCCATTATATTTAAAAACTCTTGAAAAATCATGTATTGTTTTTGCTTGTGTTCTTTTTGTCCTTCTGCTTACAAGATAGCTACGGTATTATATGTATCTGGTGGCATTTAGAAGGTAAGGGCTAAGTCACTGTATGTTATATGGCAGTGAAATCTTTGGTGCTATTTGCTTTAAATAAGCACTGAAGAATATTTAGAGTTTCCAGGAAGAACAGGTGACAAACTTCTCATGTAAGTCAGAGTCAGCAGAGTAGCTGAGCCCGGTGCTGCATAACAAGGCAGTGCTGTGTCTTCTTTTTCCAGCACAGCTTTGCTAAGTTGGTGTGTGACAGTAGTCTTATTATTGCAGGCTGGCTCAGTACATGTTTTTGTGTAGCTTTTTTGTGCTGGGGAACCAAGGCCACCAACATGGGCCTTGTCCACGTGGGTGAAGTAGCAGCCTTTGCAGGGAACAGCCTCTCCCCTGAGGTGTGGGACGTGCTCCTAAGCCAACAGACCCAGCCAAGGGGGGGCTGACTTGGAATGGCCTGTATTCGAACTGCAGCTTGAAACCTTCACACAGAAATGTAGGTTTAATCACTTGAGATCTGATTGTTCTTCAGTATCCTTCCTAAAATTCCTCTCAAGGATGGTGAGAATTGAATCTAGGGGGAAAAAATCAAGGGGCAAGGCTCTCCCAGGTACCTGAGGGCAGGTGGTAAAGCAGTAATGTGCTGGTAGAGATTTTGCATGTGTGTCTGGAATAAACAAAACCAGTCAGCACTCTGCTATCTGTTGCAGACCTAACTAGGTTGTTTAACCCTTCATCTATGACTCTGCTCTAATCAAGTTTGCAGCCCAATGTTACTGTGATATTAATGCTACTTTTCCTTGGCTCGAGCAGTGATAAGCAGATTCAACTTCCCACATATTTAACTCAAAATACAGTCTCAAAGTCTGTAAGCTAAGAAAGTTAGGGAGGGAATTAATGGTTGACTGGCAATGATAGAATCATGGACAATCATGTTGAGGGAGGTTAATTTTATCTATATATACTTCTAGGAAATTTTGCTATCAGATAGGGGTATACTCAGCCTCTCAGAGGCATCTTATTTCTTAAAATACGACAACCAAATTGTAGGAATGTTTATGGCTCACGGAGTAATGGTTTTCTTTTAAAAAAGTAAATACTTATACATATGCAGTTCATATGCATTTGTGTTCATGCTGTTAATTGACAGGCTGGTGCAAGAAAAAGGGGCACACAATACATATTGTTGTCAAGCTTGCTAAGTGTTAAGTCACAGTACCAGGAAAATAATCAACTAAGTAGCTACAGACATTGCTGATGTCAGGTGAAAAGAATATTTTGCCCTCTGATGCTTAAGTCTGTGCTTGCTTTGTGTTACTCATGTGTATTATTCATCATTAAATAATGTTACCCAGTATTTGCTTTCACTGATAAAACTAGTAACATGGAAGGCAAAGTAGTTACCAGAGCTGTTTCCTTTCAGAAGACAGGTGCAGTTATCTAGGGGATTTGGCCTCTGCTGTATTATTCTTACATAGCAGTCTAGTGGTGTGAAAGTTCTGAAGCATTCTTCAGCTTCAAAAATGAGCAGGAGCAGTTGCACGCAGGGATCTGTACTGTATTCCAGGTGTTATGATTATTAGGGGAGTGCCTTTTACCTTTTAAACCATAAAAGTGTCACCAATTGAGTAGTCTGAAAGGGAAGTTTCAAGGTTTAAGAAGCTGCTTTGTCATTAAAAAATAAGCTTAACTGTTGCGATGAAATTACCTACCTGCTCTGTATAGTGTTTTAATTTGTGTTTTGTGGTCATTTCTTTGTCTTTTCCAGTTGGTTAAGTGTCTTGTTGTTGACAGAATTTTAGAACAGAGCAGGTCCTATCAGTTGCATCTTGAGGTTAACCTAGACTTTCTCCCAGGTCCAGCCCATAGTGACCTTTGGGTGTGCTCATTCAGTGTTATAAGGTTACTTTCATTGCACATTTGCTAAGGGTTGATTTTTATTCCGGCAGTGTCGGATGGAGGAAGACTAGACTGCTGTTAGGCCACTTGACTTGTGACAAATGAATAGAATTCTCTTCGGGTAGGGACGGTTTCCTGCCTTTGTCCTCAGAAGCTGCTTTGGTTAGAAGACAGTATGAGTAAGTTGAGTGTATTTGTGGTGGTGAGTTTACATTCAGTGCTTTTAGAAAACATGTGATGATTACTATGATATAAGACTCACTGTGATTAACAGCTTTTTTTTTCAGTATTTCATCTGTGCTTCTGAGTAGAGAAAGCTGGAAGTTCAGATAAGCAACTCAAGTTTGTTTCTTTTTATTGGATGTTTTGGGTTTAATATAAGAACAGTGTTGATAATACACTCATGTTTTAGTTGTTGCTCAGTGGTACTGACCCTAAGTCAAGGAGTTTTTGGTTTCCCCTGCTCTGCCAGTGAGGAGGGGCAGAAGAAGCTGGTTTAGACACAGCCAGGACAGCTGACCTCAACCTGGCCAAAGGAATATTCCATACCATGGAATGCCCTGCTTGGTATATAAATGGAGGGGGGAGGTTGGCCAGAAGGGGCCAACTGCTGCTGGGGAACTGGCTGGACTAAGGCCAGCAGGCACTGAGCAGCTGTAACGTGCATCACTTGTCTTTCTTGGGTGTTGTTCTTATCTCTTTTTGTTATTTCCACTGTTATTATTACTGTATTTTACATTATTACCATTATTAAATTGTTCTTATCTCAACCCTTTGTGTTTACCTTTTTAGAAATCTCACTGCAGGGGGGAGTGGGCTGGGGGCAGTGAGTGGGAGTGAGTGAGTGACTAAATGACTCTTATTGCCACCAGGGATTAAACAGCAACCCTGGAGTAAAGTAAAAATATGTAGTACAAAAAAGGTCAAATAACTAATGATTAGTTGAAAATTAAACGCCATAATTTATTTTATGAGCTGTGATCAGAATAATTATTACAGTTATTTTTGAGCTACATGTTCAAAAATAGTAAGAAAGCATAATGAGGAAATACCCTTCTATATGGAGAAGGAAGTGTACGGTATATGCAGATATTCTAGTGGGGTTTTTTTTGGGCAACTATTTAAATCTTATTAAAGCTTGAAAACTTAAAGCTTATCTACTTACTGACTGTATGTGAGGTATTGAGAAAATTTAGCAATGAATCAAGTACATGTTGTTAATATACAATCAACTCCTGAGAGAATATATTCAGAAGTATCATGCCCTTAATTATTTTAGAAGGGTAAGTGTGATTTGTGTGCTCATTTTTCTTCTAAAATATTACTTTTGCACTGCTGGGAAATCTCATTTGGCAAATTGAATCTTCTCTGATATAGTATAAAATAATTTGGTTCTGTTAGATGAAAGCCAGAAGAAAAAGTTTCATCCAATAATTATATTAAGAGCACAATAGGTACTGTACCTCCTTAAAAAATAAGTGAGAAGGAAAGAGGTTCTGGTTTTGGAAGAGCTGTGCCCCTGGAAAATATGCAGAACTGTGCTGAATATTCATGATCGGTTTGAGTACCAGTTTACTATAGACAGAAACTAAATAATAGATTAAATACACTGTTTCCTTGCTTTCATTCTGAAAGCCTTGAATGATGTATGTGGCAGTAGTGTATTGTACTGCTTTGTATTTTCCGAGATTTGGTTGGCACGATTGAAGCATTTTAGTTCGACTGTTTTTTCGAGTACAAAAGAGCTGTGAAATTGTAGCTGTTTCTTAGATGGTAGCTGTACATGAGCCACCAAATATAAATTATGCACAAATCCATTCTGTACTGCTGTGGGTCTTCAATATTGCATAAACGTTTTAGTACTTTAACTTCACTGGTAGCCTTTCAAAGTTTCATAATGTGTTCCACATAATGTCCTGTGGTTAACTTTTTTCCTGGTGGTTGTTCTGGTGACTTGTCACCACCATGTGACTAAAATGTTGCTGAGCTGTCTCTCCTTCCTTCAAGCAATATTCTAGTCAGGAACACAATTAGTGAGAAATCTGTATGAGGAGAATACATCTCTTCGGGTTTCAGTGTGTTATTATGTTATTTACTACCACATAAATTTTAAAAATGCTTTGAAGCTTAAGCCAATGCTTCATTTCTAGTAATGCTGTTTTTGAAAGCTGAGTATTTTAAGGGATTCACAATTCAGTAAGTATCTATCTTAATTACTGAGATCAAACAGAGATAGTAATAGGATGGTTGTACCATCAACATACAACTAAGGTACTTCAACTCAATACTGTTGCAGATGTCTACACTTAGGTTTACTTGGAAGGAGTGGGGGAATGTCATGTCATCAAAGCTTCAGTATGTATTTTAAAGCAGTAGGATATATTGGACTGTATTGAAGTGTATTGTTTCAGCCTAAATTCAGTTTTCTGTGTTTGCTGACTGTACTTCTGGCGTAGTTGATGAACTGCACACAGTGGAAAAGTCTAATGATTAAGCTTGTATTTAAAGAGTAGTATTTGATTTTCATTGTCTAATGTAATTAACAAAGCAGGATTTATTTATTTATAGCAAAATTAGAGCAGTATACTGGATACATCTAGGAAATACTCTACTTCTTGGAAACTTAAGATTTCTGTTTATGAGCAAATGAGATAATTTAGTTTTTCTGGAATAAAGAAAAAAGCATTTTTATATTACTTACCTTAGGAATTAGGTCTGATTTTTAGCTATCACTTATGTAAAATGTCTCGGGCTAATTAAGCATCTAAAATTGCACAGCAGACCCTGGCATTTCAGTAATGTGTGTCAAACACTGGTGTTGTCTGTCTCGGCTCTGCAGCAGGTCAGCGCGATTGGCGGATAAAGGGCAGGATGGCAGGCAGTACCCAGCTGTGCATTCGCCGATGGACTACCAAGAACGTGGCCAGGTGGCTGAAGGAAGAAGGCTTCTGTGAATATGTGGATCTCTTGTGCAACAGACACAGGCTAGATGGAATTACCCTGCTGACACTTACTGAGTATGACTTGCGATCCCCTCCTCTGGAAATCAAAATCTTGGGGGATATCAAGAGGCTGATGTTGTCCATACGCAAACTGCAGAAGCAGCACATTGATGTCCTGGAAGAGCTGGGTTTCACCAGTGATGGTCATGCTGGCACAGTTGGTGCACTACAGGGGGCAGATTGGTTTTGTAATGGTGAAGTACCTCGGGACTATGATGGACCAATTACTGACTTGAATGGTGATCAGTATCAATATGCAAATGGAAAAAACAAACACGCCACACGCAGACTGGACCCAGAGTACTGGAAGACAGTTTTAAGTTGTGTGTATGTCTTCATAGTGTTTGGCTTTACATCATTTGTTATGGTGATAGTACACGAGCGAGTACCTGACATGCAAACATATCCACCTCTGCCAGACATATTTCTAGATAGGTAAGAAATTTTCTTTCTAAACAAAACAGTAATGTGACGGTTAAAATACAGGCTGTTTTTTCTCTGTTTTCAAAGTTTCATGTGCTCTAGAAGAAAGTTTCATATACTTCAGAATAAAGTTTTGTGTGCTCTAGAAGATGCTTCTGCCAAATAGTAATAAGAGTCTAGTAAATCCTTCTGCTAAGATGGAAACACAGTTCAGTTAGATGTAAAGATTTCGTTTTAGGGGCAAATAAATTGAACTGTTGTTCTACCTAGTTTATATTTAGTTTTACATCTTAAACTCGTTACAACACAGTAATTACTTTGTCCATCCTCACATTCTAGAAAAAAAGCATAATGGTCAGCTGGTATAGATATGCAGCCATATGCATTTTCTGAAATCCAGTTCCTGCTATGAGGCTTAACATGTCTTGATATAAAACAGACTTTGGATGAAGCAATATTTGGGTCTGTGAGTGAGCAAGGAAGTTGAAAGGGAGCAGCATTGGTGCTGTATTTTTATTGTCTTCCCACTGTCAGCTTGCTGAAGATGGTCTAGGGAAACTGAAGTAGAACGAAGGACCAGCATCTCTTTTAACAGGGTATTAAACCAATGTGTGACTTATGCAGTACCTGTTCATTTTTTAAAATATTTCACTTCAGGCAAAGCAGAGACACAATGGCAAAGGTCAAATTCTAGTCATTGACAACAGGTTTAATAAAGGATAAATGTTCCCTTTGAGAAAGTGCACTTGCACCATGGAGAACTTAACTGCCTAGAGAGTTTTAAAAGATGAGCTAAACTGTTAAAAAGTTCAGCCTTTGTGATCTTCCTGTTCCTGCCAGTAATTTCCATTTTCATTAATGGCTTTCAAGAAGTCAGTAAGACTAATCTTTTGAGTAAGAATCCCCCATAAATTTATATATAACTCATCAAGGACAGACCACATCCATCAGAGTGGAAGAGGGGAAGAGAGGGCAGGAGCTGTGGCATTACTGGATTTTGTTCCCAGGGTGCTGCCATGGTATTCAGTGCACAGGAGGATGGGGGAGGCCAGAAAGCAGCAGCTCACGAAACAATGAGAAGGGATTACTACAAAGCTCGTGTTTGAGCAGTGCTTTGCTAGCCCTTTGTATCAGGGGGAACACAAAACTATGAGGAGCAGCCTCTTGAAATCTGTTGATCTGTATTTTAGTGACTGAGGAGTGGATGTGGTTACTGGTGTTTTATGTGTGCAAGAGGTTTTAGATCTTTTGACAGGGAAGGCTGAAAGATTTTCATGTAGTGATTATCCCTGAAGTTTTGAAAACATTTTTTATTTTCCCTGATACTTTTCTATGCAGTTCTGCTTCATTACAAGTGTTTAAGGTTTTGGCCTTGCAGCATTTAATTGTGTTGACATGTCATTCTTGCAAGCATAAGCAGCATAATTGACATGATGCAAGTTTTTGTCAGAATTGAAAAGGTTGTTATGAAACAACAGTAGAGGAGCACATCCTGTTAGTAAGTCATGTGTAAATCAAGAGAGCATACTAGAGATTTTCACTGACTTCGTGAATTCTATGTAAACTGGAAGCACATTATTAGGAAGGAGATGACATAACTGAATTTATTTGAAATTCTATTTCATTCAGTACAATAAAAGTATTTTTGGCTGTAGTTTATACTATTGTCAGATGAATGCACATAAATTTTGAAGTTAGAACCTCACATGCCCTTCTTTTCAATACTGAGACTAAGAAAAAAATTAGGCCTTTGTATTAACTTTCCTGCTTTTTCCTTTTTTTTTAGCGTCCCTAGGATACCATGGGCTTTTGCTATGACTGAAGTATGTGGTGTAATTCTTTGCTATATTTGGCTCGTGGTTCTTCTGCTTCACAAACACAGGTAGGTTTTATAAAATCCAAATTAACTGGTACTTTGATGCAGAGAAAAGACCATAACAAGAATTTCTGATGATTGTTTAAGAATTTCCATTTCGTAAGACTCTTGTCAACTCCTAGTGTCTCTGTTAAAATGGATTAGGGGAGATTTGATCAAGAATGATGGCTTGTGAATCTTTCAAAGGAGTAATCTGATTTTACTTTTCTACTATATCTATAAGTAATTTCCTTCAGAACGTAGGTATTTCAGAGAATTGTCAGTATATACACTTATGCTATAACTGTTTTGCATATAAGAAAGTGTTACAAGAATGAAATACCACAGGATGTCTGAGCCAGCCTGGCAGTTTGCTTTCACAGAGGGATAAAAAATGCTTTTGTGTGCATGTGTATTTTAAGTTACATTTTCACCGGTTCATTGATTTTTATCAGTTTGCCAACAGAAGGTACGAGTGCCAAAACTAGCGCAGGAGTAGCTGTAGAGGTGGAGCTGTACCTTTTGGTGTCAGTAAGCTTGCTACAATGTCTCACCCTGTCATGTGGAACCATATTTTTACAGTACTACTTAATTAAAAAAAAAAGTTGTTGTGAAACTTGCAGTGATGATGACAGGACTTAATGGGATTGAGTTGGGTTAAGGTGAAATGTTTTTATCATAACTTTCCTGATCTCAGTTCCTGTGTACTTTTCCCAGATCTATACTCCTGCGCAGGCTGTGCAGCCTCATGGGGACAGTATTTCTATTACGTTGCATTACAATGTTTGTTACCTCACTCTCGGTGCCAGGACAGCACTTGCAGTGTACTGGAAAGGTAAAATCTTCAAATGCTTTAAATTATTGTTCCTGCTTCCTTTTAGAAAACAAGACATGATTATCATTGTTGCAACCATAGTGTTAGATGTGTGTTTTTTAAGAACATCATGTTCTTACACTTCCTACAGAGAGATTAAGTCAAAGAGGTGTGTGCACTTTAGCTTTCATAAAGAAAGACTGAAAGGGAACTATTGGCTTCTTTGTCTTGTTGGTTGTGTGGTTTTGAAAAAAACCCCAACAAACTATTATTATTTTGCCCTTTCTCGTAAGGGATATTCCTTAGAATATAGGATTTTATGGTTTCATCCTAACTTGTAGTTAGGAGAGGTTTGAGCTGAACAAATGGAAATGACATAATGACACATTTGGGAGACTGAACACATTCAAAAAAAGATGGCAGGCTTTATGGGTAAATCACTTCAAACAAAATACTTGCTCTGAATTCCAGTATTCATAAGAGGTATGATTAATACAATTAGTAACTGTAGTTACTAATGTGATTCATTGCCACAGTGAAATCCAAAGATGTGCTAACCTGCATTTTATTAAAAGGCACAACATGATAAATTGTATTAAACAAACATAGTGCAGTACAGCTAACTTTAGAGACTTACTGTTTGGGCAGTGGGGTTGCAACTTAGTAAAGTTAACATCACTGTTTTTCAGTTGTATGGCAATGTCTGGGCAAAGCTCCAGCGGGCATTTGCAATATGGAGTGGCTTTGGAATGACTCTGACTGGAGTACATACATGTGGAGATTATATGTTCAGTGGTCACACTGTCGTTCTGACCATGCTCAACTTCTTTGTCACAGAATGTGAGTACAGAGTGTCAATACTCAAATGTCCTTAAGAGTATGTACAGAGGTGTGAGAGTGTAAACATTTGAATGTCCTTAAGTATTAAGAATATCTGCTCCTTGACTTTCTCAGAAAGTTCAAAGTGTACCATTTAAGCAAACAAATATAAATTCAGATTGCTGTGCTCTTTCTCAGGTTTGTGACAGTCAAGGCACAGCGAGGAAAGGAACACCACCTCATTGAATAGGGGGATGAATAAGGCACTTTTCAATGAGCATGTGAGCCAAGAAATTAGAAAGGCTTTCTGGCTTGCTACTGGGAGAATACTTGGGAAGATACTTAGGACTGTCTGTTACTGTTCCCTTCCCTAGGTATCTGCCACTGACTCCTGCCAACCAAAATACCTGGCAAAGTTTCTGTACATTTAGTATAATCCATAAAGCCAAACACCAAACCCTGTAACAAGTGAGAATATATGAAACAGGAGTACCCTTCTGTAAACACCAACAGTGATTTGATACATATTACAGCAAGCAAAGATAATTAGAGTTCAACTATGATGTAATGACTGCAATAACAGTAATGTAGCTTTCATTACATCTACCTCCTTATAACATAGAAAAGACATGATTTTCATTAAAAGAAGTTGGTTGAACAAAGAATTCTGCTTTCCAGGGTGCTAAAACATTTAAGGATGCTCTTGTTAATCCAGAAATGCATTTGTAAATGAAGTCATGAACTGACAGACATACAACTTGTGTGATTGATTTTGTTGGATTTATTGGACCTGTATACAATATTTCTGAATGAAGAGAGTAACTTCATCTCATTTTTGGATGAAAAATCTGTATAAAAACTTGGAATGTCTAGGCTTGCATTTTGAGACAGTCAAAGTTAATCACTTTCTGTTTTCTCCTAGACACGCCAAGGAGCTGGAACTTCTTGCACACCTTGTCCTGGGTCCTGAATCTCTTTGGAATCTTCTTCATTTTGGCTGCACATGAACATTATTCTATAGATGTCTTCATCGCCTTTTACATCACTACAAGACTCTTTTTGTATTACCATACATTGGCTAATACTAGAGCATATCAACAGAGTAGGAGGGCAAGGATATGGTTTCCAATGTTTTCTTTTTTTGAATGCAATGTTAATGGTACTGTTCCCAATGAGTATTGCTGGCCCTTTTCAAAACCTGCTATTCTAAAAAGATTAATTGGTTGAAGACTGTGTGGGTCAGTTCAGATTTTTATGAAGCATTATGACTGAGATCCTACAAGGGGGAAGTCAAGTAACATTTTTCACTCCATGATCTCCTCCTTGCCTTGTTTCTTGGATTCTTAGCCATAAAATGGGGTTCCCATACTTTACAGGGATGTGTTTTGTTTTCTCCTTGTGAAAATAGAAAACAATGCAGGGACGGGTAAAGGCTATCAGTGAAGCACGAATATAAACCAGAATACTGTTACCCTTGGTAAGGTTCTGCGTGAATGTTTATAGAATATTAACCTCAAATATGTATTGAATATAACACACACACTTTACAGGTCCAGATAATCTTTGTTACCCGAGTGCCAGCCTTTACATATACTGACAAAAAATTAGAATTTTGGGAAGCCTTTCTTTGAAAGCAGTCATAAATGAAAATTTCGAAACAAACTGCATGTATTTAAAGATTGAGGAGGTCTGTGTCATAATGAAGGAAGCAGTATAGTTCCTTGCTGAGAGGGTCTCTTAATTGTTAAATTACAAGTCTTGACAGTATAAATGGTCTGCATACAGGTTGCCAAAAATGAAAGTCTGCCTTGTGGCTGTGCAGTGATGATATTTTTTTAATGAGAACTTATTTACTCTAGTCTATCAGTTGTCTGTATGATTGTTCTAGCACTTGAAAGTTTTCCCTTTTGTGTTTAAATGAGTTCAAGTAAGTGGAACATCCACTGAAAGTAAACTTAGCTTTAGTGAGTTTAAAGCCACAAAGTAACTTTTGTGTGGTCTTAATTGCTTTATACCCAAAGCCATGCATGCTTTTCAGGAGCACTTCTTTAACATTGGAAAAACAGAACAGTTGTCTTCGTGTATCTTACTGTCCTGTAAATGGCTGGGGAAAATGCATGTAGTAACTCTTTCAGGAATAGTAATAATAGTGAGTATTGGAAATAGTGCTCATGTTGATGTATGTTTTAGCACTCTGGTGTCAACAATATGGTGAATATCTCTGGATATATATATGCACAGTATATTTGGTTATATATATAAACACACAGTGTTATGTTTTTCTAACAACTATGAAAAGAGGCTAGTTCTTAATTTAAGTTGCTCATTTACTACACTGAAAGATACCATAAACAGTTGAGTTTTGCTTGTTGAAAAAAACCAAACCACAACCCACGACAAAACATCCCCCAAAACCTTAAACCAACACTCCGAGTCCATAATGCATGAGCAGGGTCACATAAGGGTGGGTGATCTCTTAGGCATTGGGTAAGGGGACAATACTAGTGTTGTCTGTAGAGCCTTGAAATTAGATTTGTGCTAAATGAAAACTAATAGGTACAAGGTACAAAATCATAAAAATGGCATAGACCTTTTAATTTGATTATTGCAACTTCAGATGTGGAAATGTAGTGTAAGTCAGCTTTAGAAAGTTACACAAAGCATTTCCAGCTTGGTACAAGCTGACTTAATGGGCACTATGTACTTGTGTGTGCATGGAGATGAATCCATTTGGAATTTGCAAGGTTTTGTGTGTGGAGGCTTGTAACCTACTGTGGGCTGCTCCTTGCTGTATTGTGTTCCTTTTATAAGCCTTGATTGTACTAACTTGACTACCTTACAGTCTTCCTAGTATATTGATTTTGTAATTTAATTTAGCTCCGATTCCACAGAAGAATTATACATCTTGGAGTATCTCTGCCAACTGTAATGAGCACATGTACACTGTATTATTCCAGAGATTTTTATATTTGTAACATTCCAATTTTTTAGCAAAATTGCAGGTTTAATACTATATTGTTCAGTCTACCATAGCCTGATGGCTTTTGCCATCCAAATTGGGGAACTATGCTTACACTTTAAAAAATGGAGAAAATACTCTGAAAGATTTAAAGACTTGCCATTTGCTGCTCTTAACTTTCTGATTTCAGAAAGGCAATTTGAACATTCCTCTTGAGACTTTATAATAAAAGAGCTCTATTTGTTAACTTATATTTGCCTTTGCAATGCACACAGTTATGAATGCTGTTTTTCTAAACTCTAGGAAACATCTGTTCTCAGGATGTACAAGATTGTAATCTGAGTTATATGGAGAGGTATGCAATTAAACTTGCAGAGCTGTTGATTCTGCAAATAACCATTTGAATGGTAACTGGCATAACTGCATCTAAACTGAAATACTATTTTACAACTTAGGCATGCAGGAGAATTTTCAAGTACAGCCCAGTGTAACAATGTTTACATAAAGTAAAGCTATCATTTCAATATTTTTATTTTTTTGTAGTGAAGTTCATATACATTGAAACATAAGGATTCTTTGTTCTGATTTAATCTTCAAATTCTGTTAAGTAAATTGTGTTTTAAATCAGCCTTGTCTATAATTGTTTCTTAAAAGAAGCTTGTTCTTTTGTGCTGTTTCCCCTGATGCTAGATAGCTAAGTCCAGGATAAGTAATATAAAATAGTTGGTTTTGTTAGCATTGGAGTGGATTAAAACATTGTCAAGATAATTGTCCTCTGTTATTTTGGAAGTTCATTTTGTCCATCTGTGAACGTGCAAGAGGAAAGCTTGAAGCTGATTGACAGAAAAATGTGATCTTGCTTGCAAGAGAGCACAGGTCAATCTGTAAAGTTGGGAATGTAAGCTTTATTGTTAATTAGATGGAAACAGGCTGCAGGTAACTGATAGGCTTAACATTTTGTACCTCCTTTGAGTCAGTGTTTTAAAAGCATTTTGCTGTTTCTGTTGCTGACAAGCACTTTTTAAGTAAAGTCAGCAGAGCACCTTGGGCCTTGGATTTAATGCTTAGTATGTTCAGGGATGTCTTCCTTCATGTTCACACACCATCATTGCTCTTCTTGAAAATGCTGCACCTCTTTTGTGCTAAGTTGTCTTCTGTAGTCTGTGTGAGTGCCCACATAATCTGAATTCAGAAAAATGAATGAATTTCTGTGTAATGTCAGCGAGTGCAAGTGCAACATTAGTACTACAAAGTGCACAAATGAATCAAGTAGCAAAGTCTGAAATTAGTAACCATATATACAAAAGAAGGAGAGGGTCACAATTTTTTGCTAGCTTAGAAAATTTAGTAATATTTGAGACTTGGCAATAGGGTTGAGCTCTTCCTTATTTGTTTGGGGATATGTATGCACATACCTGCAAGTGACAGACACACAGGCTCTTCCTCTATCCTTTTTCTTTGTTTTTTTGTATCTTGTGACACAGTTTCTTATAATAGCTTTCCTAAACTTTTTGCCTTTAGTTTTTCATTTCTGAAAGATCCCTTAAGTGGTTTATAGCCTTATACCTGCAGAGAATTAGACCTTAATAGACATGTTTTTAACAAATTCTGATTACATTGACAAAAACTTATGAAAGTATCTTTAAGCAAGGTTCTCCAACTAACCTTGAACGATGCTATAGAAAGCTTCCATATATGCAAATTATCCTCATGTTCTGTGGCAAACATGATAACACTGACACAAAGTGTTGGTACAGAAATGTAGGCAGGCCTGAAGTATTTAAATGTTCAAGACTAGCAAGAATTGGATCCCATAAGTGCACTGCTTGACTTGTATGCTTAACTTCAAGCAAATTACTAAAGACTCTTGACTTCAGTGAGTGTTACCAGTTTAGTTTAAACATCTTTTTGGATAAAGCCCAGTGCATACTGTGTGGTATACTGCTCCAGTAATGGAAATAGGTAACATCACTTTCTTTTTGGTTTTCTGTGATGCTTCCCCCCCTCCCCCATTTACTGTAAAAAAAGCCAAAACCATTCCAGGTAGAATTTCAAAGAGATTGCTACTTAACTAGGTTCTGAAAGAAGAAATCTGTAAAAAAACCAAAAGACAGAATAAAACCTTGATAATTACCTGCTTTAAGAAGCAAGAGTCAGTTAAATGATTTGGGGAAAAAGTTATTTTTTGATGCGAGCATGTTAAATAAGGTCATTTAGAATTACTGAAACCCTCCAAGGAGGATAAAAGCACAGGTTCCTATAATCTTCTTTTCTGTACAGCTGTTATCTCGAGTAGTGCCAAAAAGAGAGTTAAAGAAGAAAGAATTGAGCTCAGACACCAGTAAAAGCCTTTTGCAGCAATTAATACCTCCTTGTTTTTTAAGCATTGCCTGCATGCTTAATGCTATACTTGTCCATTACTGTTTAGCTAGTTTTCTGATGTAAAAAAGCCCACTTGGTTTTCAAACATCAGTCATGGAAAAAAAAAACCCAAACAGTAGGTTTTATGGACCTGGAGTGTAACAAAAATAACTTAAAACAACAGTGATAGTTTTTCATCCTGTCCACATAGTTCCTACTGAAGAGGTAGGGAGAATTTGTGGTAATATACTGGCAATACGGATTTTTTTTTTTAATAACCATGGACACCCTTTTAGAAATCTGACCTGTAACTTCAAAAACCACCATAGTTTGTGAAGATGGAAGTATATTTGACAGAAGTCCTATCAGTGAGACAGCTTACCCTCTGAATTATTTTATACATGTAGACTTCAGCAATAAGGGTTAATTGATAGACCACTGGTTTATAAAATTATAAATAGCAAAATACCAAATATTTTCTGATCTATCTTTGACCTTGTCACTATTCTAATTGAAACAGTATTCCTGGGGAAAAAAAGTTCTTTAGAGTGAACCTACTGATGTCTTGTTCGTTAAAAACCACAAAAAAAACCCTCACAACTCCTCAAACACTACAGTATTGTGAACACTGAACCTTCCATATAGCAATATCCTGCAGACTTACCACTTGTATCCTAACAAATTTGCAATGAGTATTATGTACATAATTCAGTAACGTGCACGTTTTAAAAGCCAGTTTGGAATAAGTGTGTAAGAACTTAAGGTGATCAATGTGGAGCACAATAACCTGACCTATTAGCCGTGACTGTGTAGTTAGAAAGACTAACTGTAACTTAGTTTTGCTCTTTCAATTCAGTTTTGTCAAAAAAGGAGAAATTTTGTCAAATTTGAGAAACTACGAACTGCATTGTACATGGTACTTAACATAATAAGGATGTAGAAACATGGCTTTTCACTCTGAACAGTTAATTCAGTTTTGTCCTGAGAAAATAGTGTTATCTAATGGCTAGAAGGTATGCCAGTGAAGTGTAGAATACTGTAAATAAGTAAATATTGTTTTGATTCTAAACTCAGATTGAATTAATATATTGTTTTATATCTTTGTTGTGTTTAAACATATTTAAAAATACTAAAATAAAATACTTGAAAGATGACAAATGCTTGATGTATTTTATATGCAAAATGATGGCTCATTGTCTCTGTTAGCACTGTGCAAGTATTTCTGAGCATAGGTGTGATGGTGTTACAAGATCTTTTTCCAGTATGGAAGTAAGTAATGCTGACAAAATATAATTGGCACATTCTGTGGGAATCTGTTACAAGTATGTGCATATACTTCAGATCATTTCTGGAGAAGTAACTGTTCTGGGTGATGCAGGAATTACAGGTTTACAGCTGTGGTTTTAAGTTTGCAGCTACCTATAAGGGGTTTGTTTTATCTTTTGGCACTGACCTGTGACAGATTCTGGTAAAATTGCTGGTTTTCCCTGGAACAGGGAAACAGCTGCCAAATACTAAATTCCTGCTGCTGTCAAGATTGTACTGCGGTTTGATACTAGGATAGGATAGGTATTCACTGGACTCTTTGGTATTCATAGAAATCATTTGACTTGTGCAAAATATTAACAGCCAATTTGGTAACAATTCTTTTTCTAATAGCGTCATTAGTTTTTCAAAAGGTTCTTTTCACATTCTAATGTCACAGAATGCAAGACTGATTTGAAAGAGGCAGTGCTTTTCAAACAAGTATTCATCATTCAATTTAAATATAAAAAACCAATTCACTTTTCTCCCCCCCACTCTGCTACATGAAGTCATCAAAACTGAATCTGTGTCTCTTGATCACTGATAGATTCCCAAGTACTCTTAATTGGAGGTTAATAGCCCTAAAAAGAGAGAGAGAGGAAGAGGAGACAACAGCAGGCAGCAAGTTTGCTTTCCTTACAGTAACACTGAAGAAGACTCTTCAGGCAATGTAGGGAATAGCAATTCATAAATTTTGTGAAGGAGAGTGGAGAATGAAGTTCGTGTGGAGTGCAAAAGAATATTCAAGAGGTGACTGTCCACTAAGGAACCTCTGATGTGTGAGTGGAAGCACGGGAAAGGGGCTGGCAACATTAACCTGCAATTTTGCTGAATTTCACAACTCCATTAAAAGTCTCATCACAAAGGCCCCTTCCAGAGTTTCTTGATTCAAATTATTTCATGATGTTTGGGGTTTGTGGGGTATTTTTGGCAAAGTTAAACAGGTAAGACTTTTGTATCCTAATGGCACTTTTTAAAAGATTCCTTGGTGGGGTTTTTTAGCATTGTGGGGAAGTTTGTAATACTGAATCTGTACAGAATAACCTGATGTCACTGTTGTTTACATAGGAATGAAACCTGTGACACATCACAGAAACTGTTTTGTGCATGATTCTGACAGAAATACAATGAGTGATGTGCCCAGCCTCCCCTGCTCCAAGGTAAGAACTAAGCTGCATTTCATGTTAAGGCAGAAAGGAAAGGGAGCATGTCCTGCTGGAGGAGCAGGATTGTGGCAGCACTGTGCTCCACTGTGCTTTCAGAAGCAAATTGAATTGTTTGCTCTAAGTGGCAGCTTGGCCTACAAATGAGCCCAAGTTACTGAGAGAGAAAGCAGCAATAAAAACACAAAGCACAAGCTTCATCTTCTGTAAAACCACAAATACTCTTTTGCATCAGACTCCAGCCAAACTAAACTGTACTCAGTGCCCAGATTAGGCCTGGGTTCTTGCAGTCCTTTTGCTTCCCAGTGGATCCCAGTGTATCTTAGCAAGCACTGCCTTCTCTTGTGAGACACTGACGAGGCTATGGAGGATACTGCCTTAGTTCAGCTTCCTGATGATTGATTTGAAGATGTGCTCTCCTCCCACACCAGCAAACAGCTCTGAAGGGCACTGCTCAGCACCAGTGCTCCTCAAGAGGACAGCAAAGTTTCTTAGCAAGTCCTTTAATGAGGGTGCCAAAAAGTGATTCAGTCTGTGAGTAACAGGGTTGCAGGGTACTTGGCCAAAGGCTCTACCTCTTATTTCTGTCCTGCCAATTAAAAATAGCCCCCTGGCTAATGCCAGGGGATGTAACAGCCCTACGTGGGACAGGTGCAAGCTGTCAGTCAGGAGGCTGGAAATACCTAGAAAAGCATCTGCTCTCCTGCAGGCTTTATGAGATGATCAAGAGGAGAGAGCAGAGGGAAAAGGAGAGTGGTTTGCAGCAGGCCCTGCTGAATGCCTCTGGTGACTCTGGAGATGACTCCTTCCCAAAGGTGCTCTTCTGTTTGGTTCTGGTTTTCTCTTAATTGAGCTGTTTCCCCAAGTTGTGACTTGCTGCAACTGAACCCCAGAGCTTTGGTTAAAGGCTGGTGTCTGCTTCTGGCAAGCTGGAACATGCAACACCACTCAGGTGCTATCTCTGTCCCAGCACTGCAGAAATGCTGTGTTGATGATTTGAGCAGGGATTTGGGCAGCAGGGACAGGCTGGTGTGAAGGCATGACCGAGTCAGGGCTATACTGGTGTGCACACTGGCCAGGAATGGGGTTTATATGCCAGAATTCATTTATTATCTTCCAGGAACAGTTTCCTACAGGACAGTTACACGAATAGCTAAATCCACAGACAGGCTCCTTCTCAGGCATTATCTCTACCACATTCAAATGGACCAGAGTTAATTTCAAACCTGTCCTAGCGGGTGTGGTTCACAGATGATTCACAGTCTGTGTCATTTTTACTTTGGCTTTCCAGAGGGATGTGGACTTTATCATCTGATGGCTGTTAATTTGCCCTTGGTTTTCCACATACTATTTATAAATACAAATCCCTGCTCTGCTTTTCCTATGGCATGGGAGAACTGGCAATGAATGACAGAATAGCCCAGACCACTGCAGCACCACAGGGAGCCACAGGATCTTCCCCACCAGCACATGGTGTGGTGAGCATGTCATCCAGAGGGAGACCATAGCCTGAGCTTACTTTTATTCACATTTTGCCTAGATGTTCAAAGTTCAGTTCCAGCTAATCCAGTGCTACAATGTCAGATGTAGGAAGAATTTACACCTAGAACTGCATGAAGATTAACGACCTCTCTCTCCTCTTTGAGTTAATCTA